AAAACCAGCGAAGCAGTACTGGGAAAATCCAACAAAAAGAAACAACCAGACTGGTTTAACGAAAATCAACCGCATATGCAGGCTTTGTTGGAACAAAAACATAGAGCACATCAAGCAGTCACTGCAAATCCACACAATCCAAGACTAGCTGACAACTTTAAGGCAGCCAACAACACGCTCCGAAGAAACCTGCGCCAACTAAAGGATAACTGGTGGTCGCAAAAAGCTAGTCAGATTCAGGAGTATGCCACGCATCACGACTATCGTAAATTCTTCGAGGCTGTAAAAGAAGTATACGGTCCAACTAAGAAGGCAAGATGCCCAATCATGGCACAAAATAGCGAACTTCTAAAAGAGGAAGAGCAAATCAGAAACCGCTGGAAAGAGCATTACAGCCATATCCTTAACCAAGAAAATAACCCCAATATGGAAGCACTCAACATAATACCTCAGTGTAACAGCCTCGATGTATTAGACATTCCAATAACAGAACAGGAAATAAAGGACTCCATAAAACAGCTTAAAAACAACAAATCAGCTGGCTGTGACGCGATTCCGGCGAAAATCTATAAGTGTGCAAGTAAAGAACTTATTGGTCATCTTAAGGCTTTCTTTGATGTCATATGGGAAAGCGGAGAGGTACCTCAGGACTTTTGCAACGCGAATATAGTGAATATATTTAAGAACAAAAGAAGTGCATCAGACTGCGGAAACTACCGAGAAATTTCACTACTGGCTATCGGAGGAAAACAAAAAAAAACAAAAAAAAACAAAAAATTCTTGCAAAAATTATGTCAAACCGCCTGCACCCACATATAGAAAAAATCCTCCCAGAATCGCAAACGGGTTTTCGCACCAACCGCGTTACCGTCGATTCCATATTCTCCATCCGGCAACTACAGGAAAAAGTAAAAGAGCAGCAGTCTAAACTTTACGTTGCATTCATCGATCTAACAAAAGCCTTCGACTCTGTGAACAGAGATGCACTTTGGGCAATTATGAAAAAGTTCCGAGTACCCATCAAATTTCTTAGTGTGTAAAAGCCTCCATAACAACAACAAATCAAGAGAGTCATATCATGGATCACTGAGCGATCCCTTCCTAACAAACACAGGCGTTAGGCAGGGATGTGTCTTAGCACCTCTCCTATTCAATATATTCATGGCAGCGCTCTCCATTATAGTGGACAGCAAACTGCAGGAGAGAGGTTTGGGCATTAGATACAGATACGACGGCGGTCTGTTCAACATAAAAAGACTCAGGGCAAAACACGTACAAAATTCATCACAGAACTTCAATACGCTGATGACTGTGCTCTAGTTGCAAATACGTTACAGCAATTGCAAGAAATGTTGACCACATATACATGGGCATACGAGGCCTTGGGACTTAAGCTGAACATCAATAAAACTAAAATCATGTGCACTCCCCCGGAAGATCACAACAATGCTATAAAAATCGGAGATGAACTGTTGGAATATGTAGCGGAATTCAATTACCTCGGCAGTTTGATTTCGGAAAAGACCAATATCGACTCAGAAATTCAGCACAGGATTAGCAGCGCCTCAAGAGCATTCTGGAAATTAAAAGACAGGGTTTTCTACAATCATGACTTGAGCACAAAAACAAAACTTGCGGTGTACCGAGCGATAATAATTCCCACCATGTTATATGGAAGCGAAACCTGGGTGCCGTACCGCCGACACATGAACGCATTAAACAAGTTGCAACAGAGACATCTTAGACAACTCTTAAGAATAAAATGGTTCCATCGCGTCTCAAACGTATCGGTCCTTGAAAAAGCTAACTGCGAGAGTGTTGAAGTCATGATTACAAAGTCCCGCTTAAGATGGGCTGGTCACGTATGCAGAATGCAAGAAAACCGCATACCAAAATCTCTGCTTTACGGTGAGCTTGTAGACGGTAAGAGGAGGCCGGGTGGACAACTCAAAAGGTTCAAGGATATTTTCCACGAAAACTTAAAGGGAATTAACAAGCAGAATGAGTGGGAAGAGGCAGCTCACAATAGAACGGAATGGAGAAGAATTGTAAAGTCAGTTAAGAGCGACAACCAAAAAGTAAAGATGCAACAAAGCAATGAGATTTTTGAATGTCTGGAGTGCGGTAGACAGATAACATCACGTATCGGGCTTTTCAGTCACAGAAAAGCTCATGAAAGAGAACGCCTTGCGTGACCCTCTTCTGATGCGTGTCAAATACTCGTCAGCGAGTAATGGCGGAATACAGTTATTTTTCGATTTATTGTAAAGTTTTAAAAGAGTTGATTTTTTTTATTTAAATCACATGATTAAAATTAAAAAAATCACTTGATTTAAATCATGACAACCCTGGTAAAAATACTTTTATTAATCAAATATAAATATCAATTATTTTGGTGTTTATTCACATAAACAAGAGTGTGAGATAGAAAAACAGAGGAGTTTAAATTCTCAAAAAAGAATCCTAATAATTCAGAGAGCATATAAATGTATTTGGGGCCAAATACACGTGTAAGTATAGAGCTGTAAAGAATCGCAGTGAGAAGATGTTTTGTTAAGTGTAAAGTTGCGGCTTTAGACAAAGTGACAAAACGATGCTCTAATTACATCAATCCGCTATCTATCAGAGTCCCGTTTTCAAATGTTAGGTAAGTTTTTTACTTTTAATCGGCATTTCCAAGTCGTTTTTAAATCTTTCTAGTTTGTGTGTCAACACTGGGCGTCGAACAAGCTAAGATTCTGGTAATTGCTTGGTATTTGTGGCCGATTATTGATTGCTGCCGGCGGCTCTCAAAATGTTGCCATTATTTTTTTTTAAATTTTCAAAGTTAAATAGCTCGATTATTCTCAATTTATTTTAAATATGGTAAAGAAAAAATATGTTTCTTTCGGCTAGATCTACCACCCCTTAAAATACTAAAGTACTTATTTCTGGGACACCTTGTATAAATTAGTAATTATTTAAATTATTATTTTTAATGTTTGTCTTCCTGTACCTTTGCAAAAATAAATTAAGTTAAAAACAAATAACAATATACTTTTCGTAATACTAAATCAATACAATAAATATGAATAGTTTTTGAGATTATTTTGTATAACATAGTACGAAAATTAATTATAGGACTAGGTATAGGACTTTGAAGCAAGTCATAGAAAGCACAACCCAAAATATTATTGTACAATTTTTTTATCTTCATTCGTTGAGCGAAAATTGAAGCACAAAGAGAACAACCTCATAAAATTTTATATACAGGGTGGCCTAACATATATAGAATTTAAAACGATTAATTTTGCCTTTTAAAGAAATAAAAAGTGACAATAAATTATTGTAAAAAAATTGAAAACTTTCATGTATTTCGAAATTTTGTCATTCAAAAACACTTTTTACTTTTTAGGACACCCTGTATTTTTATAGTCACCAACACAAACAATAACAAATTACGTCATAATTTCCTTTTGTATTTTTTATATATACTGAATGAGCAATCTCGGCATTTAAGAATAATATAATATCCGTCAGCTTTAAAAAGAAAGCTTCATACTAAAATTATAGGTACATAAATTCTTTAATATACAGGGCCTTCAAATATATATCACACGCAACCTTAATAACGGTTAAGCCTACTCTTAAACCCCGCATAACAATCCTTTTTGCTCCGTTCGAATATACAGGGGAACGTCGAAAACTAACTAACTCGATTACCCTGTAGAATTTATCTTTTCTTATCGCTTATTAATATTTTAGGGAAAATATATTTACGTGCTTGATTTTGCTTAGTGTTTATAGGGTATTTGGATGGGGTTTGAAATATCATTATTTTAGGGCAGAAAAAGAAGAAGTCATACTCAAAACGTTCAAAAAACTGGAGAAAAGAGTCAGTTTAATAGTATTTATACAGAATGGGGACAATATTAGCGGTTTTGTCTATCGCTGATGTTCTGGAAAATGGTCTTGAATATAAAAGAATTTTGAAATACTTTGGGGTTAGATTAAATGAAGCATATTTTAATATAACAACACAAAATTATTCAGTATATATTAACCACATTATAATTTTTAACATCGAACGCTACTGATCAACCGGAAGTCACGTCCGAGAACTATTATTCTGTGGTAAGGTCAGCCATATTGACAGTGCACCACAGTGTTTGGTTTGGTTGGTTGCCAGAATTGAACTTCCTTCAATATGAAGGACTTTACAATCAAATTTCGTCGATTGAAGGGCTGAAGTATTTTTATCTTCTTAAAAAGAGGGCAATATGAAGGTTTCTAGCAGTTTTACACAATGGTTAAAATATGTATATCTATCTATCTATTCAGCCTCTTCGGTCCATAGTTGGACATAGGCCTCCCCCAATCTCTTCCACTCTTCCCTCTCTGGGATCGCCGCGCTCATCTATCTTGTGCCTGCATGTTTCCTCAGATCGTCGCCCATCTCATCTGAGGTCTTCTTTTAGTTTTTCTATTCTCCCAGAGCCTCCAGTTTACGATGCATTTGTTCCATCGATCATCCTTCTGGCAAACTTCCATTTCAATTTTGCTACTTCACTTCTCACATCCCTTACTTTAGTTTTTCCACTGATCCACTCATTCCTTTTTCTATCTGCCAGCCTTACATGTAGCATTTGTCTTTCCATAGATCTTTGAGAGTTTGTTACCTTATCCATATTTTATTTTGTCAGTGTCCAGGTCAGGGATCCGTAAGTAAGTACAGGGATACACATTGATTATATACTTTGGTTTTGAGGTACTGTGGATATCCTTTGTTTTTTAATATGTAGCTTAATTTTCCAAATGCTGCCCAGGCCAGTCTTACTCGTCTCTTTATTTCAGCTGTTTGGTTTTCTTTTTTCAGTTTAATCATTTGTCCCAGATATATATACTCTTCAACTTGTTCTATTTTTTCTTGGTTTATTCTGGTTGTTATGTAGAAATGTAAAAATATGTAGTAGGAGTACTTATTGTGTAGTATTTATTGTTTTTCCTACATCTATTTTTTCACTTTAACGGTGTTTAATTAAGGATGCCTCAGTTTAAAGCAATGTTGCTGTCAAAAAGTCCACAATTCGAAAGATTTTAACATTTAACAAAAAATTAATAGACACATTTCTATCTTTCAACACGTCTTATTAGACACATTCCATAACTAAAACGGTAACGGTAAACGGATCTAATAAGTCAGCTGATCATGGTGTCTTGCACGATTAATAATTATTCTCGATTCAAGCAATCATTGTGAGCAATAAATATTTTGAAACATACTTTATAATACTGCTGTCGAGTATCTATCACAGCATTTTTGATCGTGTTATTTTTTTATTAAAAAGTTTGTTTAAACACATCGGTGTCCGAAAATTACTAGAAATGATGTTTTTAAAAAAATTCTCCTAATTATAAAGTAGGTAAAATACACGAAATTTGGCGATTTTTCACAAGATCTGGAATTTTTTGTGAAGTTGAAGGAATATGAAGATTTTTTAAGGCTCCGTTAAAGAAATTCGCTTGCAAATTTCTGGCAACACTAGTTCGCCAAGTTCTTTGATATACTGCTTCCACAACCTCTTCATTCCATGGCCCAAGCCTTTGCTAAAAGTTATAAATACAATATATGAACAATTTCGATACATAAAACAAATATTTTAGACACTCTTGTGTTTTTATATTGTAGTTTTAATGTTTGATAAAGACTTTTATAATGTCACCTGTCAAGAATTTCAGCAGTCTAGGTATATTTTTAATCATATCATTCTTCGAAGCGTTTGATGTTGTGATATGCTCCTTCCTTAATCTTTTTATTCAAAGGTTCATTGTGAACACTAATGACATTAGTCTGTTATTTTAGTTTCAAGATCTAACCTGCACTCTCATTTAAAGTCTGAACTTAAACAATGACTCTTTATTTTTTGTTTTTGAACTATTTTGAGTAAAAAATCTTCTTTTTCTTGTATATTATACGTAAAAACTAATCAAATAGCCAACCAACTTTGCAAAACAATTTTTTTAACAAAAATGTCTTACTATTATGCTAAAAGTGTAACCTACACTACTACTTAGAGAATTACATCTCTTTTTAAAAAAAATTACATGTTTTGTCATATGAACTCAAACTTGAAAGTGAAATAAAAGTAAGGTTAACAGTTAGTGGTTTCAATTTGTTAGCTTAAGATCTAAGAAAATGGATGAGATATCCTACTGATGCTTACATTCACATATGTAATTTTCCTTATATCGAAGTATCTACTATAGAAACAGAAATTTATCAAAAAGTCTTATAGAAATGTCTCCACAGTATACGTAAAATTATTTTTGAGTATTTTTAAAAGCGTGTCTCATATATGATTACCGCTCGTAATTGGTAATCTTACAAGATACCTGTGCTTATACCATTTAAATTAAAGATAATATCGCCTGTAACATTCCAAATAAAATGTTTGTTTAATGTTAAAGCCCCCATAGACGATCAGTTTTTTAGCACAGGCTGACTGCCCAGGCCAGTTTGCGCAATTTAACTTGTACTGCTGCAAAAACACAGAAGTCTTCTCAAGAAATGAACAAGCCACAAAGGTAAAGATATTATACACTATACAGGCAACCTGTGCAAAAAACTCAACGTCTGTGAGGATCTTTAGATCTTTAGACATATCTAATTTTTTTTCTATAATTAAGCAAAACATATTTGCATTTACTTGTACTTTACAATAGAAAATATGAAGAGTAATCCTAGATCATATATTATTCTTACGTGGATAAGTGTCGCATGGAAACTGTCGCAAACATATCAACGACTTCCATTTATCTTCTTTTTTTGTTGCACAAGTGGTGCAACCTATATTATCCTTGTTGAGGGCCTATCGTCCACGCGCCAAATTTGAACAGTAATTTTAAAAATTTAATTTGTAAAATGCATATATTTGAAAAATATATTTATATTATTATATTTGAAAAATATATGCATTTTACAAATACTAATTAGAAAGTACTTAAAATATAAGTACTTTCTAAACCGTATAAAATTGTGATTATTTTAGAAATACGTGCAACTATGAATGCGCATGCGCAAAGTAAGGTCCTCGGGAAAGACAAACCTATTGAACGTTTCATAAGTGCAATAAAGAAGGTTTGAAAATGGCATGTCGTGATGTTGGGGACATATTTCTTAATGCTAAACTTATGGCGTTTATTTATCCACGCAAGTATATGTAATCTAGGAGAGTAATACTCCTAACACACTCTTCTATGAAACCAAGTATCTAACAAAGTATAAAGTAGCATAGAACCCGAAGAAAGCATCATAGTAGCCTTTGAAAGCTTGTTTTGGCATATATATCCCTGCATATCGATAATAAAACAGTGACATAAAAACTTTTCGAAAAATTAATATATCGAAGTTATCATCGACTGTCATTTCAAATGCCACTGAGATGCAGTTCTTTTTTTCAATTATGTCGTATAATATAATATAAGTTGTATAAAATGTCTTTTTTAGCGAGTGGGGGTCTTTTTTTAATTCGATATGCCTTCATTACTGTCTCTCATTTTTATATATAAACCATAACCCAGTCAACTAGACCCGATTTTTTTAGTACTCTCTCCATCTAACAATTGATCTCGCCAGTGCTCTTGCTGACGTATTTGATACCGTAGCCGCCATTTTGGACTACGCCGTTCTCGTCTATGTTGGCGTATCTTTTCGCTTGTTTCGGCGTCATCACCGATTTGGCAAGCGCGCCTGCATCGAGGGAAACCCCCGATTTCACCGAAGTCGGGACGTTTTTTACCATGAAATTGTTGTTGTGGCCCGTACCGGTGCCGGTGGCTCCGTTGTCTAATGAGAGCAACTTATCTACCTAATAAATAGAAAAAAATGTTAAATACCTACTGCTAAAAATAATTATTTTCTAAAATAAAAGTTATATAGGTTGGCTACTTTTTATTTCTCGCCAATTTGTAGAAAACTAGCGCCCTCTGTGACTGAAAGTCAAATTAAAATTCTACTTTTACACCACTCCTTGTATTCTTTACGCTATATCTATATTCGATATCAATTAAACTTTTAGTTACTTAATCGAGGGCGTGATTTTTAAATTCATTGTTGCCAACCATGGACATATTCGGCGCCGGGCTGACTAACTGGAATTTAAATTTCCCGCTGGGGATTCAGGTGGTAGCTCTGCTGTAAAAAATGCCACATTTATTTATTTATTTTCTAACATTGTCATTCGTTCTGACACTTTAGGGTGCATCCACACTATCCTAGAAACGGCGTATCGGCGTAACGGCGTAACGACCTTGAATAAATTTCCAGTAATTCTATTGGCTAAAAAATTCATCTGTCAGAAATTTTATCTGTCAAATTCATCTGTATTAAAAATTTCAGCCAATAGAATTACTGGAAATCTATTCAAGGTCGTTACGCCGTTACGCCGATATGCCATTTCTAGGATAGTGTGGTTACACTCTTAGTTTTGTATTACTATTTTTTGGTTTAAATAATTGTGCTGTGGTATTTTAAGTTAATTTTTTTTACAACCAGCAGTCGAACATTGTTCGTTTTAGAACCTTATTTTGTGCAAAGTGTACAAGATAGCTTATAATAGTCTTAAAAAACTCATCGCAACTTTATTAGAATATTTTGAACGGGAAAGCGGTAGTAACGGCCCTTTATGTTCCTTAACTGCTGTTAAGAAGGTGAGTTTGTTGATGTTAATAATAACTGTTTATATATTTATAATTAATTTATTTTTGTTTCCTAAAACATTTTGATTAAAAGAAAATATGTAAAAGTGCGCAACGCTGTGCCGGTAAAGCTTAATCACGTGACTAAAGTTTATTTGATATGAACTATGTATATTAACACATCGGTATACCGATCTGGTCATCGAAACTGCGTGGTTTCGATTTTAAGGTGTGAGACAGTGGTGCAGACAGCTTAAATGAAAAATCGAATGTATTAAAAATAGACAAAAGTTTGGTTAATACATTTTTTCTATGCCGGATTGTGCATCAAAATTTCAAACCGCACAAGTAGGTGTTTACAATAGTATATTATTGAACGAGCAATTTATGCTAGCCATTATTCACGCAGGTTTGCGTCACGAGCCGTAGGCGAAAGGCAAGAGTGAATAATGGCTATAAATCGCGAGTTGAATACTATACTTTGTCCACGGCGATTATAATAATTATGAGGAGTGTTTGAATTTGTATTTTTAATGTTAGTGTTACTATTAATTATTGTATTCATGTTTTAGGGGAAAATATCACTACCTACTTAAAATTTGGTAATTTCAAACGTCAAAATTAACTAAAAGATAATAAAAACGTCAATATCATCAATTGCTATGCATCGAGAGTCGCAGTCATCTCGAACTATTCTATTTTCAAATATTTGGGGAGTTTATTATTAGATGTGTTTTACGACATACCTGTATATTAGTACTTTTTTCTACCACCTTTATTAAAATAAATTTGTTGAAAAATCATAGATCGTACCACCAGCAGCTGACTTTTTGTTGTTTTGTGTAACTAAAGTTGGTAATTTGTGTTTTATTTATCGTTATATATGTATTTGAATTTTATTGATGCTGCTTCAAGTTTTTTGCAATAAAACATACTTCTACCAACTTTAGTTGAGTACAGTTGTTGTTGGAGAACGATAAATTGGAGTACAAGCATCTGACTTTTTGTTGGTTTGTGTAACTAAAGTTGGTAATTTTTATTTATTTAAAGTTATATATGTATTTGAATTTCATTGATATTATTTCAAGTTCTTTGCATGAAAATATCGTACCAACATTCTTTAGTCAATCAGGAGATCGATTTTTGTTCCGTTGCAATGGCAACTAAATATATTAATAACACGGATTCGGAAAACGAATTTATGCCTTTAGCAATCCTCCAGTCTAGAAAGTTTTTATAGACAGATATGTAATGATCCTGGTGATGTTAGACTTGTGTGGTAGCAATCCAAGATTTGTTTGGTTTGGCCGCCTCTGCTATCTCTGGTGGTATACAGAGCTCATTATAATTCTCATAATTCATTTTTTGATTTTAAACGAGTTCTTGATATGCCACTTAATAATCACTACCTACTTAACATGTGACAGTTTTAAACGTCAAAATTAATAAAAAGAAAAGATAAGAAAGACGTCAAATCATCCATGCCGCGTATCCGGATGTTGTGAGTGTCACGGTCAGGGCCGGCGGAAGGGAAATATTGAGACCGGGCGAGAACACTGTCTGGCGCCCCCTCCCCCCCACCCCTGATGGCTATTATAACTACCTCTTTCTTTCAATAGTATACTTTAACTACAACTATGCATATTTATGCTACTTTAGCAATAAATTTTCAAAGACACTTCAAAATTCTTCTCTTCATTCAATTTTAATCTGCGGTTGTTGTTTTTTCTGTACCGAGTGAGTCTTGAAAGTGACTCATCCCTATAACTTTTTTATTATTTTTTTTTGATAAAAAAAAACGAGTTTTGGTACATTATTAAATGACATAAATTAGGATTGATTGACGTATTCAATTGTTTTTGGTCACTTCCTGTTTCACCGGAAATGACTAAAACTTTTGATTTTTAAATGGCACTTCAGTATATTTCTACTTTATTCGATAGAAAATGACACTCAGAGTAGAATGACATATCATATGTCAACTTTTGACATTTTTGTCAAAAAAAAATATATTTTAAATTTCAATCTAGAGTGCTATGACTCTGTTAAGACTCTGTTAAAAACACTAATTTTTAAATAAGGAGACTTGGAAAAATAGATTTGATCGTCTAATGTAATGTGATCGTCGTGTCTTATCCTGGCCGGTTAAAAGATGTCTTAATCGTATTTTTAATAATATCTCAATTTTTTCAAATGGAACAAGGTTGGCTCATTAGCATATTTGGAAAAGGCATTTTCTTAAGAATAATTTAGTACCACACATTTTGTATTTCGAGTCAAGTTGTCGTTATGAATCGCATGTTACAATTTCAAATAAAGCATATGCGTAAATGTCAAAAAATTGACATATGTCATAGAGTAGAAATATACCGAGGCTGGCATTTGGGGTGGCATTTAAAAATTAAAAGTTGTAGTAATTTCCGGTGAAACAGGAAGTGACCAAAAACAAATGAATACTACGTCAATTAATCCTAATTTATGTCGTATACCCACATCCCAACTCTCGTTTTATTCATCTGAAAAAATAAACAAGTTATAGGGGGTGTGTCACTTTTGAGAAGCACCCGGTATATAGAGTGATAAGAAATAGAATTCCAACTTCGGCAGTCTCGTTCTGGTATAAGTGATGTTTGAAAACATCAGTATTTAGTTGCAAGCAGTTTTTATTATTTTCCTATAAGAATTTAAGAAATTTTTCTTTTCTTTTTCACAGTAAATTATTTCGTGCAGAATCAGTATATGATCAGATACAGTTTTGTCGGCTTTAAAATGAGGTTCAGCTAGTGTTTGAGATGCATTCCTTTGCCTTGCTCCAATGAGAAAATTCTACGATGCTACTACAGGCTACTACCATTTTCCATGTATTACCACCGTTATTACTACATATTCAATCCGGAACAATCAAAACTACCGAAAGATTGATATTTTCCCCACTACTGTTAATAATTTTTTTTTAAATTAATGAAGCAAACTTTATAAGTTTTTTTTTATAATAAGGATATCGGAATCCTCTTGAGCTTCTTGCGAATGAATATTTGCCTCATATAATTTTAGAGCATATCAGCCATTAATAACAAATAAAGGATGTGGGTAGTAGAAATAGTGCGATTTTGAGCAGTCAGTCTAAAACTGTCAATTGCTATATTGCTGGCTATATTTTTTTATTTTGTTTTGTTAAAGATTCTTCCACGAAAATGAATTGGTAAATCCCAGTTTCGAATAGAGTACCCAAAAAACATACAAAATAGAAGAAATCAAAAGTATTTTTTGAGCATAATTTCAGTAAACTATAATAGGATAGGTCTAGGATATAGTAGTGTTTATAATGTTTAATCAGATATAGTAGTGTTTATAATGTTTAGTCAGATATTTTCCCTGTGTGGTGTAGTAACTGCTGATATTTTAATGTGAAAATTGATAGTACCGATTAATTATTATTGATCTGGTTATTCGTTACTATATGTTCAGATGACTGTTTTTGAGTATTTTAGTTGCTGTCGTGGCGCCCCTTCCATCCAGCGCCCTGGGCGGCCGCCCGGGTCGCCCGGCCCTTCCGCCGGCCCTGGTCACGTTGGCATAGCAACAAATGTAAAGTAAATGCAAAGTGTGATTTATCATAATTCACTGTTATCAGCTGTTACATTTCACTCTGTTACAAATATGGGCACCATATTCCTTCTGCTAGGAAGTAGAATATTGATTTATTATTCAGTGGTCGTGGACAAACTTTATTTTTCACAATTAGTTACTCATTTTACTACAGCTGTAATAGATTTGTAAACATCACCATGCATGAACATTATTGAATAGCTTAGATATATTATCGTCATTTATTATTTTATTTCTCCTACGAACCGGCAGCACTGTATGCGCCTTTTTATTTCGTCTCTCTGTCCACTGATCGTATATATTTATCTCTGTCGTGTGCATTAAAGTACAGACTAAGGAAGTAAAGTGACCAGGGCTAGTATAAAACACCTACGCTCACAGGATTCGAGTATTTAAGTTCTAAGTCAATCCATTCTGAAGCAGCGAACATAGTCAAAACATTATATCGCTAAGGAAACATCATTTGTAGTGACCAAACATCACTGAATGATAAAATTAATAATAATCTTTTTAACAGAAATAGACCTACACTCTGATTATTCTCCTCATCCTTGTTGTTATCAACTAGAAGTGGTTGGGTCGATTTAGAGTTGGGCATTATGAATGACGTCTCCCAGTGATCGTTCGAACTGTCTGGAATCAACTTCTCCACGGAAGACGTTGATTCTATCGGATCCGGAGTGGTGGGAACCGTATGGTTAGGTACCAAATAGTCTGAAGCATTCGGTAACACCTACAAAAAATGGTATGTCTCAATAAAAAAAACAAAACTATACAGGGTTGTTCACCACATACGACTCAGAGTATTGTAGCTAAATGATTAGATTTTTACAAATTGTAAGTTTTGGGTTCGTTTAAGGATTATTAAGCTACAATTTAAAAATATTTTTACAAGATACAGAGTGTCCCAAATAAATAAAAAATATCAAAGTTGTATTTTTTTAAATGGAACACCCTGTATATTATTACATTTTTAGTTTCTACCATTAAAATAAAGGTAAATTTGATTAAGGTTTATTACACTTAAACCTTACCGTTTTTGAAATATTTTCAATTTTGTCAAATTGCAGTCAAAATTTTAAGGCTTCATTTCTCCAAGGGTAACAAAGTTTTTATTACTAAACATTTACTGAAGTTTATTTATTGATCAGTTATTGTGTTGCAATAATAAAAATTATACTACCTTATAAAGAGGGTTTAAAATTTTATTTTAAATTTTAAATTACTGGTTTTAAACGGCAATAACTTGTTTAATTTAAATGGAACGCCCTGTATATTTTAGGAGAATCAGATGCATAAGTTAATTATCTATCAAATTGTATTATACCACTTTTTACCCATCCCTTCAAGTTTTCGTAGAAAATGCATTTTCTTATAATTTAGACCTCATTTATCAATATACCCATGGAATATTGACATTTTAGATTGTTTTTAAAGCAACACATGTACAAAATGTACAGGCTAGTAATATTATCGTTTTTAGCAAAACGATAATATTACTAGCCCATTTGTATGCAAAAAGACAACTATTTAAATCTTTATAAAAGAATATACCATTAATTAAATAAACCACCATTATTTCCGCCCAAATACTAATTAATTACATACTTAATTATGTTCGTTAATAAATTATTCTAAATAAATGTGGATTTGGAATCAGAAATCAATATAATAATAAGTTATAAAAATGGATGTCTCTGTTGTTATAAATAAGCATTTTTCAAAAAATGAAATATGATTTTTAAAGTGTTACTTTTTACCACACTGTCTAATACATATAAAAAATTAAGTTTTTTAGTATTTGGACCAATTACTATTAATCAACGCAAACAATCAATTAATGTAGTTTGAATACTGGAATCATATTAATTGGTCCTCTTTAACAAATATTTAAACAGTTTTTTTTATTTTTTAATGAAATAAACAAACTATATCGACAATATTAGTATCTGTACTCTTTAAAAATTTGGTACATGTTTAAAAATAATCTAAAATATCAGTATTCCATGGGTATATTGATAAATGAATTTAAAATTACACGAAAATACATTTTCTACGGAAACTTGGAGCGATAGGTAAAAAATGGCGTAATACAATTTGATGGACAATTAAATTGTGCATCTGAGTCTCATAAAATATACAGGGTGTTCTATTTAGATTAAACAAGTTATTGTCGTTTAAAGCTAGTAATTATTTAAAATAAAATTTTAGACACTCTGTATAAGGTAGTATAATTCTTATTATTGCAACACAATAACTGATCAATACATAAACTTCAGCAAATATTTAGTATTAAAAACTTTGATACCCTTGGAGAAATGAAGCCTTAAAATTTTGACTGCAATTACACAAAATTGAAAATATTTCAAAAACGGTAAGGTTTAAGTGTAATAAACCTTTATCAAATTTACCTTTATTTTAATGGTAGAAACTAAAAATGTAATAATATACAGGGTGTTCCATTTAAAAAAATACAACTTTGGTATTTTTTATTTATTTGGGACACTCTGTATCTTGTAAAAATATTTTTAAATTGTAGCTCTAATAGTCCTTCAACGAATACAAAACTTACAACTTGTAAAAATCTAATCGTTTAGCTACAATACTCCGTGTCGTATGTGGTGAACAACCCTGTATAAGACTAAGGAAAAAGTATTTCTATAAACTTGACAATACCGCGAAAGTGTTTTAATATGGCCGACTTGACTTCTGGTTGACCAGTAGCGTTTCAATCTTTTTATCATGTTAAAATATAAAGTAACGTGCACTCAAAAATTTGCTGGGTTTCTTTTACGTTGAGTCCAAAAATGTTAATAATAATTAAGGTATGTTGAAAAAATACATATTTCTTAAACAATAATTAAAATAACTATTTAATAAGAAATATACAGGGTGATTACCAGGGAAACCGCTAACAACTACAGTAAACACCAACACACTAAGAAAAAAATCCAGTGAATATGAACAGCTGCTGGACAGCAGGCTGCCTGATGAAGAAACAAACACACAACAGCTCATGGACACTGTACCAAACTGAAAAACTAGAAGCACAAATTAACGAACTAAATACAGCCAGGAATAAAGTGGGTCTCAAAGAGAACTTAGCAAAAACTAAAGTAATGTACAACGAACTAGTGGACAGAAAAGACATACCAATAAATAACACAACACTGGAAATAGTAGAAGACTACATATTTTTGGGACAACTAATAGACAGCTCGGGATCTCTACTACCAGAAATCAACAGAAGAATTAAGTTAGCATGAAAAACTTATGGAAGAAACTCAATCATATTCAAATCTAGAATGCCACTTTATCTAAAGAAGAAAACATTCGACCAATGTGTACTACCAGTCATGACCTATGCATGCGAAACCTGGACACTTAAAACGGACATCATAAGGAAACTGCAGGTCGCACAACGCTCAATGGAACGAAATATGCTGGGAATAACCAAGAGAGACCATTAAAGAATAGAGTGGATACGACAAAAGACCCAGGTAATAGATGTTATCCACAGAGTTAAATCCCTCAAGTGACAATGGGCAGGACACCTGGCAAAAAGGACGGTCAACAGATGGATCACAAAAATTACAGCATGAAACCCACGAGGAATTAAGAGACCTAAAGAAGACCGAACCTGAGAAACGCCATACTTGGAAATGTCTCCAAAAAATCCTATATGGGTATTTCGCCACTGCAAGAAAATCTACAAAATAAAATAGTTATTTTTTGTAAACACTGCTGGGCGTTAATCCAAACGGAAACTACTTGTTAGCAGTTAGGTTTACAGATATACAACTTTGCCTAGCGAACAAAAAAATGCTTAACGTTTCGGAAAGTTTATCTATTTCCGTCGTCGGAAGCAAAAAAATACAAAGAACAAAGAAAAAACTATTTAAAATATTTAAATTCAAGTATTGGAAATGGTTGAATAAGCTGAAAATGATGATGATGATACAAGGTAAGGCTCAAATAAATGCACATATTTTAGAAGTGGTATATTTCGATTCCAGGAATATTTGTGAAACTTTCTAGCAAAAAAAACGTTGTTTTTTAAAAAATGTTTGTTGAATTTTTTGTTCAATTTTCAGTTAAAAACATATCTTGATAATATGCCAACATAGGGAGTACGAAAACCCAGAAAAAATCCGGTGGTTCTGAAAATTGAAGCAAAGTATCATTTTTTTTAATTTCCAAAGTAAACAACCATAGACGTTGATTTACAATAATCTCACTATAAACCAAGTCCTGACAAAATGTATTTCTGAATTTTTGTTTTTTTTTGACACTTTGTATAAAATCAGTCATAAAATACACAAATAAAAAATAATCACCGAAAAGCAAAACAAACGCATCTGAAGAGAAAAGTCAAACAAAAGTAACTATAAAGGTGTTTCAAAATGACGACCACAAACTTCCATTTCTTGTGCCAATTTTTTTTTTCGTTAGCGTATTTAGCTTCTTCTGTAGCATTTTAATTCAATGTTATACCTACATAAATTAAAATTAAAAGATCATTTTTAAGATTACCTGTAGACAATTCTCGTTAGAGTCGCTAGGTCTAATCACTGTAGTGTCTCTTTCACTGGACACCGCCCTGTAGAACATAGGCAACGGTGCGTTGATCACATCAGGATCTTGAGCACAGTATCCTAACCTCTCCATTATCGTGGAAAAACTAGGCCTGTCTTCCGGTTGGGGGTGCCAACAGGACGCCATTATACCGTATATTGGACCTAGAAATAAATAATACACCAATAAAAAATCACCCAACAAAAAAAAGAAATATAACCTGGGCAATTTTCTGGTCTATCTAAACGACCTCCCTGAATAACTAGGTCCATAACCTCCCTGTTAGTGCATCCAGTGTATGGCATAAAGCCCATTTTCATTATTTCCCAAAGGAGGATACCGAAAGACCAAACATCTGTCTTGGAACTGAAAATACCTTCCAGAAATGCTTCTGGAGGCATCCATTTCACTGGAAGCATGGCTTTACCGTCCTTTCTATAGTAATCCGCTCTGCAAATAAACAGCATTTAGTTTTGGATATGAAAAAAAAAAACATAGAAATATAGAGTCTGACAAAAGGATCTGAAACAACGGAGCAACAGTAATGCAGATTTCTAAAAACATCGCAGATTTCATTCAAAAAATATCCAGAGGCGTGTTTTTTATAAAAATATATTAGGAATTTCTTTAATATTTTCCAGTAAACTATAGTAATATTTATTAGAAAGCGTGTACTATTTATGCACAAATCAAATTAAGTTAAAGGTATAGAATACAATACAATATCTCCGCCACTGGATATTTCAATACTAGTCACTACTTCCACTGTTTTCAAGGATGGGCATAAAGTTGAGTGTAACACTGGCCAATATGAACACGTTATGCGCATGTCCATCGCCTGGCAACGAAACGTGCGAGAATTTCGACCAATCAGTTTAGTTGTTAGGAATGGTATCATTCGCTTTCTCAGCGTTGCCGGCTTGTCCCAAACGGATGATATCGTAGGAAATGTTTACCTTTTATGATAGACCAATGGATGAAATCAGATGAGAACGTTGATTTTTTTGCCTGCATTCTTTTCGCTGCTTCAGATCCTTTTTTAGACCATACCAACAGGTATGGTAGGCTATTAAGATCGAAAAAAAAAGTTTTTTTAATTTCACTCAAAATGAGTTATTTGGGTCATAAATGACCTAAATACAAAATATTTTCATGGTGTCTGTCTGTCTGTCTGTCTCTCTGTCTGTCTGTCCGTCTGTAACACGATAACTCAAAAACCGCTAAACCGATTTTAACCAAATTTGGCACAAAAATACTGTGGCACCAGAGAATCTGGCCATTAGTTTTTGGTGGGGGTGGGGGGTTGGTAAGGGTGTATGGGAGGGGGTTAAAAATTTTAAAAAATCGTAACTCCAAAATTTCAATAGCTAGCGAAACGCGGTTTTCAATTTAAGATTAGGAATAATATTTGCAACAAAATTTGTAATAACATAAAAATCAGTCAAAGTCGCAGTTTTTGAGATAATTGAAACTAAAATAACTGCATACCAACTTTTTATTAACTTATTTTAGTATGGGCGGCTATACGTGCCTCCCGGCGCCAATTTTTTTAGATACTAACCTATAGATATCTCTAGACATTCCAAAGTCAGCTATCTTGGTAACACGCCCAGGACCTTTGGTGGTTAACAGACAGTTCCTAGCGGCTATGTCTCTATGAATAAAGCGTTTTTCTTCTAGGTAACTACATCCTCTAGCGACATCTATCGCTATAAGCAACAGATCTTTCATTGTTATCGGACTAGGTCGATCCTAAACACAAAAAACAAACAAATATATTTCTACATAACCTAAAAATCATTAAAACTCACTGGTTTAGGCCTGGATTCCCTCAAAAAGTTCTTGAGATCTCCCCCGGTAAGAAGTTCCAGTATAATAAACTTAGGATGCTTGTCAAAACATACACCAATGAAATGAACTATGTTGGGATGATCGAACTTGGACATTATCAGTGCCTCGGTGATGAAATCGTCTTCTGCTGGCTTAGTTGTCATTTCCTGCAGGGTTTTGACAGCTACAGGCATTTCAACGGTATCTCCCGGTCTTTGACGGTAGAAGCCTTGGTAGACTTCACCAAAAGCACCCTGACCAAGAGCCCTAATGAAAAAAAAACGTTATTACAGGAATTAACATAAGCATACAGGGTGGCCCATCGAAAACGTTCCGCAAGGCATAACGGCCAGGGTAATTTCCAGGGTAATTTTTTTTTCAGAAAATTCAAAAACACGACAATTTTGTTGGTGATGGGGACAATTTTTGACCCAAAAATGATTGCAAATTCTTCAACCTTCAAGCGGGGGTGTCATCCCCCATTTTTTTTTCAAATGGGAAGGGGGGTCAAGTGGTACCGCAGTGAAAAGGGCTTTCTATTCTCTATACTTTCCCTCTTCTTTTTTGAAAATCGGTCGAGTCATTGAGAAAATATGAAGGATTGAAATTTGAAAAGTTTATTTAAACATTTATCAGAGTAAAAGGACAAATTCCCGTATATTAACTATATACATTGAGATACACTCCAACTCAAAATGTATATAAACAACTTTGGTGTAGTTAACTGAATATATTTAAAGCCAAAAATTGTGGTATATAATTTTTTGATTCTGAATTATGCTATTATAAATTTTTGATACAGAAACAAATACACATTTTAAATCAAAAGCAATAAATCTTTAAATAAAAATAATGTGACAAAAAATCTTTGTAGTTTAATGAAATAATATAATAATCATGTTCGATTATGGTTAATAAACTTTTTTGATGAATAAGGGGCAACCTAGCAATTGTCTGCACCTGGTTTGTGTATCTTGGGTACCTTCGTTTTAATGTAATAACAATATATAGTTTATTCACATCATACAATTACAATAATTATTACAACGATTGATCATAAATCAGCATAACTGTAACTTATATGAACTCAAAATTACTAACAATGTACGGCAAATAAACAAAAACAACATACTAAAATGTATGATTGCGCGTAGGTTGTAGGTTTTGTATACTGTTTGTTTATTTATACTATTTATCTATGAGAATTAACACGTAACCGACAAAACTAACTATATCAAAGATATTTACTTACTTTACTAAACGTAATTGATCTCTCGGTATATGCTGAAGATCAGTAATTGTAGTAATGACACCGCCAAACTCATAAGTAGGGTTATATTGAGCTGTCATGCTTCCAGAGGCTTGTCTGAGCCTGCTGAGTTGCAGGTCAGGAACGGGACAGCCTTTTCTTCGTAACAAGCCGGAAACTTGTTGCTGGTACCTGTTATCTGAAAATACTAGTTAATTTTAGTTGTTAACTGATATATTTGTGATGGGAACTCGATGGGGGTTATGTCAAAGTGAAGACTTTGATGATTGCAGTATAAAAGAAACTTACATAGCACGAAGCAGACCACGGCAAAGGCTACGGTGAGGCAAAAAACTGTTACAATGAGAACAACGACGAACCATGGTGGGTACTGTGATTCCATTTGGATTTGTATCGCTGAAAAATTAATAATATAAAAATTGTGAATTGTGACAATGTGAATTCATGTTAAGTAAAACAAGTATAGGGACAGTCTTCTTCAAATGTGAATATATATTTATTTGAGAAAGTCAATGTGCTGAATTTTACACAATATATGATAGATATACAGTACGTAGATCCGTTCTGTAGCTAAGGGGGCATTTGTAAAGTGTAAGCGAAATTCTCTTTTAGCAAGCAATTCGTAGGCGTACTATAAATATCTTAAATAAACATTACTTATAAAAAAAATCAAAGATACCTGATTAGTTTTATTTTTTTCAACGGTTTTCTACGTAAATGAGATATAATCTTTATATAAATTAAAAAATTTAAAAGAAAAACAATAAAAAGTTAATAAAATCACGGAACTATTTTACCGATAACGACTGCACTGTTCTCCAAGCTCGGTATACTACCGTTCTCGTAAAAAAAATAGACGATGCATCAAATCAATAAAACTTCGACAAATTTGCAAGTGGCCAATGTAATGAGTAAGCAGAGTGTGTTTTTTGTGGACCCTCAGCCGCGTGTATTTAGGTGGCGATCTATAAAATATATTGATGTTTATTTACATATGTTTTATAGTAAATTGGCCCTACTCCAATATTGTGTCTGCATTCTTGAAGTTCCTTTCATAGACCCACATCCAGTAGACGTACATTAAAAAATATGTTTAATAGTTTTTAGTATTAAAATTTTTGGTTTGGGTATTGATTAATTTGGTTGCCAGTTGAGTATTGACTTAAACTAGAAGAAATTGTACATGAACTAGCCAACTAGGGTGGGGCAACAGCTACCATCCACTGCGACCTTTTCAGATCCTTAGGTTACATTCTCCAGACCTATTATTTTCAAAAAGTCTAGCAACTTAGAGACCGAATCCTCCAAGCTCAGACAAAGAAACATTTAAATATCCAAGAGAGATTGCTGAGTTAAGTGGGATACAAAACCAAAAAAAAATGAACGGAGAAGAACTGCTTCTTGATCTAACTAAGTATAGCCTGAGTATTACTATAATTCTTTTAAAAAACACTTATAAGAAGACTCAAGTACAAACTAACCCTGTACAAAATTAGTTATGTTATGTAGTAATATAGAGATTCACAGCAGACTACAGGTGTGTTAAAAAACTGTTTTGGTGTATTCTGTGGTAGGTAAGTCAATTAGTGAAGAAATGATACAAAATCTGGTACAATTGTACAAAAATAATTAAGCCAAGTATACTGAAAAACAGATCATTAAAAACTTTTCATGATTGTAGGTCATTGGCACTGATATAAAAAACTATTCATTATTAAAAAATATCAAAAAAAGAAACTGGTAGGGCATGAAAATAATACTTATACATGACTTACGTATGCAAGATTTCTTATTTTCTGCTAGTCTCCACGTTTTAGGACAGACGCAGGTTACTTCCGATCGTTTTTCGTCCAGTGCTAAACATTGGTAGTCGCAATCGCAGCCTTCTATTCCCGGGATGATTACAACGTATCCCGAGCCTACGTTGTGGCCTACGTATGACGTAGACAGTCCTTGCTCCGTCCTGTAGGGGTTCACGAAGGATATTCCACCGTCGCCATTGGTAGAGTTGGCATTACCACCAGCATAGCCACCACCACCTATTAGAATTTTATGAATTACTTTACCACTAGTTTAAAAAAAGTTGAATATCCAGTACCTCCTCCATTTTTACAACCTCCTCCTCCACCTCCAAATCCTCCATCTCCTCGACCATCAGTGGAATTGTAACAAGCTTTTCCTCCAATGCCTCCCATGAGCAATGAACCTCCCATAGCTGCTTGGTGAATTGAGTTAACCAGACCTGGATACATCATCCACCCACCACCCGATCCAGCAGATCTACATAAATACATTAATTTTAGCACAGCTAGTAAATAAATTGAACTGTAATTCAAATACAGGAAGTTCTAATAAGTATAAGTTACCATTTTTTGTATTAAATATTCTTAAAAATAGTAACTTAACTTACATAATAGATATACTAGGAGTTCAATATGATAGATTGTAATACTATGATTTGTATCTGTATATTAGTGGTGGGCAAAACTGTTATTTTTAGATAACAGTTGAAACTGTTATAGTTATTTATAAAAAACAGCTTAAAAATAACAAGTTTCTTTATTTTATTGCTAAATATCTGAAAGTAATAAGTAATATCCTTGATTATGCAATTGTATAATATATACAGTATGTCCCCGGATTGTCTTTATAAAAGGAAAAACTTTTTTATTGTTGACATTTTGAGAAAAACGCGTTCTTCATAAAAAATTTTGCTTCTTCTTCGAAATCGAAATTATGTTACCATAGAAACGCCTTTTTATTTTTAGAATTCAGAAAAAATTCAACCACATATTTGGAAAAGTATAAACGGGATTAACAATAGAACAAGTAAACATTTTTATGGAGAATACATTTTTCTAAAAATGACAATAATAAAAAAGTTTTTCCTCTTATAAAGACAGTCCGGGGACATACTGTATAAACAAGGGTAATATCTAATTATTAGTATTTCAAGAGATTAATTTTTCTTAGTGCGATTCCAAATAATTTGAAGTCTGTATAATTTAGCCTTTACTTGTTTTAGAAGTTGAAAAGTAATATCTTTATTTAGTGTATTTTTAGTATCTATTGTTTGCTGTATCATTATCTCTGAATAGTAATTTTTTTTTGAAAAGCTTTAAATGGCAGCAAAAGCAACGAATATACATTATTTAAAATTAATATTATCCTCAATGTGTTTGCTACCTTTCAAACAGTCTTTTCTTAACATAGTGTTTTTATTCTTATCACCATCTATAACAGTAATAGTGTTAGACAGTGGTGAAAAATACCGATGGTAATATATTTTGTATGGTTATACAAAAAAAACTATTACGTTACAACTATTGCAATAATTTAAGACTTAGAAAAACTCAATTTTTTTTCTAAAGCATTTCTTTAGAAAAATATACATATTACTAAATAATTAACTAAATTGTTATTTCCATTTTTTATTAAGTACTTCTCATTATTATAATAAATAAATTAATCACTAAATTTCTAAGCACCACTCACAATTTCTTAAATTAAATCTTAGTAAAATTGTCTTTGAAGAGTTTTAAAATGTAGCAAAACCAATGAAAGTATATATTTAAAGATATTAATAAAAAGTAACTGAAACTTAATAACTAAGTACTGAAACATACAGCGCCATATCTCGACCTCCGCCCGTTATGCTCGTAACAGGTTGAAAAAGAACTGATGCGTTAATTCTCCAACCTGTTTCGAACCTCAATCGACAATCGACCGATGCAGCAGCGTTACTTTCCCACTCCGATTACCTCGACCGCAGCTGGTTATACTCGTAACAGGATAAAAAACATAGTATCTAAAATGACTGCTTATTTTCTATACGTTATTCTCCAACTCGTTGCGAGCCTCCATCGACGATCGACCGATGCAGCAGCGTTACTTTCCCACTCCTGTTATCTCGACCGCCAGGCGTTATGCCCGCAACTGTTTCAAAAAAGCTGCTTGTTTTATATCCTATTATTTTTAAGCTGTTGCAAGCCACGACCATCGACCGATGCAGCAGCTACGTTCGCCGTAGCGCATTCCTCACTCCGTTGTATCTCGGCGCCGCAGCGCCGCCTGTACTGATGGTTGTCGAAATAACATGTTTTCCATACTATAGTAAACGCCACGAATGTTTGGGAGTGATTCATCGCTTGATGAAGTTAGAATCCACACGCGCGCTATCTTTTTTAGATTAAAAACGTAAATTTTTACCGCAGACGTAGGTTTTTAAAGGCCCGGTCTAATCATCAGCTTGCGCTCCTCCTACTTATTCTAAAATGTTAGTGTGATTGACAAAGACGATACTATATCGCGTTTCTTTGACTGATTCGTTTTTGTGCGTCAGTCCATTGGTGTGCCTGCAGTGCGACCAACGGGGCATTCCATTTTATATTTATAACCAAATATATGTTTTGACAAGACTTTGACAGTTAAAATAACAAATTACAACAGATTATATATTGATTATTCTATGACTTGAAACACCACGGCACTGGAATTAAGTTTTATGTGACCTTGAACGGATTAATTCACATGGTAGCGATCGATGAATCACTCCCAAACATTCGTGGCGTTTACTTTAGTTGTTTTTTGGAATTGCTTCGAGCCGTATAGAATTTCGTGGCGGTGCAGAGCCCCGACTTCGTTTCACGAGCGGTCGATCTCTACATGTCGTTATTTTATATCTGTTATTTTTTAGAAGTAGTAACGGTTACGTTATGTTATTTCTAAATAATTGTTATAAAATATCAGATAGTTAAATAACAACCCATTACTACCCTATATGCATATAATAGCAGCACCAATATACCTCACAGCATGAGCAAGCAATATTAAAAACTGTAATAATTATCCGTTTATGACATTTTTAGCTACTGTAAATCCCGGAATTAACATATCGAAATTTGCATATGAATTTTGACTAAGTATGTTAATTAGTATTGAAGCAATAATGTAATTTCCTACAAGAATGTTTGCCTGTCATCATATAAAACATGAATATATTTGAAAGCAGTTAAACTTTTAGTTACGTAATCGAGGGCGCGATTTTTAAATTCATTGTTGCCAACCATGGAGATATTCGGCGCCGGGCTGACTAACTGGAATTTTAATATTGCGCTGGGGATTCAGGTGGTAGCTCTGCTGTAAAAAATGTCAAGCTGCCGCATTTATTTATTTATTTCCTGACATTGTCATTCGTTTTGACACTTTAGTTTTGTATTACGAGTTTTTGGTTTAAATAAATAGTGTTGTGATACTTTAAGCTCAAAAATGTTTACTAGCAGACCTTGCAATCGAACATTGTTCTTTTAGAACCTTTTTTAGTGAGAAGTGTACAAGATAGCTTAATAGTCGTAAAAAACTCATCGTAACTTTATTACAATATTTTGAACGGGTAAGAGGTAGTAATGGCCCTTTATGTCCCTTAAGTGTTGTTAAGAAGGTGCGTTTTGTTGATGTAAATAATAACTGTTTATATATTGATAATTAATTTATTTTTGTTTCCTAAAATATTTTGATTAAAAGAAAATATATAAAAGTGGGCAACGCTGTACCGGTCAGCCTTAATAATCATAAAACATTTTGATCATATATTTAAGCATTTCTTACTTCAGTTCTGACATTTTTCCAGTATAAGGCCTCACAGAAAGCTGTATTTCTTGCCCATGATGTCCATTATCATCAATAAATCTACTCAAACCCAATCCACCTCCACCCGCAGCTACAGCGATGGGTATTCGGTCTTTGGTTCGATTTCTCTGCAAACAATTATTAAATATAAGTAAAAAAACTTTCAACATTTAGCGATTCTTACCATAAAAACAAAAGTACCACCTCCGCCTCCTCCTCCAGTATCGTTAATGTCGTACGAAAGTATATCTCGTACTTTGTTGGGTACTTTGGCAGTTTGTATCGTGGAACAGTTACTTGTTTGACCAAGAATCTATAATAAAATATAGTATAAAATGATAACAAAAAAGCACTCTAGTCTATCAATAAAATATATATAAATAGAAAATAAAAGTGTGTGAATTAAAATGTATTTAAATAAAAATTGCAACTAAATGCTTATTTTTAGATAGAAGTGACTAAAAATGCTATTATCGACTACCTACTATTCAGAATCTAGTTAGGTAGATTGAATATTTCAGAAGAGTAAATTGTGGATTGTATGGAAGAGGAGAATTAATCAATCACCGCGACCATATAGATCTCTTGAGTTATCTAAGCTCATACCCACACTCATCATACAGTCCCAGAGCAGCTTTGACAAAAGCCAGTATCTGAGACGGTTTTACAGAGGTTAGTTCTCCATCTCAGATATCAGTTTATGGCACGCATGGTTTTGTCTTCTTCGCGCACTCACTGCTGAGGTGTTCTGACATTTCCCCATTCTCCCCACAGAATCTGCATTCGCCGTTGTTTCTTAGCTGCAATCTACGAGTACTGAGGTGTTCATTGAAGAAACAGTGAAAAGAAAACAGGAAATAGTGTCCTGTTAAAAACCCCATGACAATCCGAAGATTGCTCATACTTAAATCAAGGTTCTTTGATTTTTCTGGTTTGCAAATCTGAGAAATTTCTTTAAGTGTCTTGTATCGTTGGAGGATAGCAATTCCAGGTTATGGATGGAGTCTTCCAGGTTGAGTTGGTTTCCACTTGGGAAGCAGAATGGTTTTGGTCCAGCTAGTGAAGTGTTCTTATTACCTTCTATTCCTTGATGGACTGGTACCTAGTGTAGTAGAACTTTATTTTCTTGCTTAATTTGTTAAGCTTCTCTAGGCATTCTTTCACCAACTTCGAATTGATGGTTACTGAGCTGATCTCTCTTAAGGCTACTTCAGTATCGCATAAGATGGCTATTTCTTGTTTCCGATAGTTAGATAGATCCGAGAGATTTCTGCCTAATGGTGCACTGCCTCTGTGGTGCACTGTAGTGCTCATTTTTGGAGGAGTAACTAAACTAATATTCGACAAACTCCTCTGCTGCTACGTGGTAAAATCATAATTAATGAGACATCAGTGAACACCGTGTAAGTTTTTAAATAGTAAGTATTGTAGTAGATTTTGAGATTACATTTTTTTATATATATAAAAGACATACCTTTATACAAGCGCTGGTTCCTTCCTGTCCTACCAGCATAAATATCTCCTGGCCCCTCTTCAACTCCAGTACTGTTCGTACCAGTGCACCTCTTGATGAACCCATACCCATACTACCTTTACCACCACCAGCACCAGCCAGGATAAAGCTAAAACATTTAAGATTAGAATATGTCGATCATATGCTAAAGTATTATGATAATATTTTTTGTAGTCAATTAGAATATCACTACATTAAGATGATATGAAAAAAACACCAACAATGAACTCTTGAGAAGAAACCTAAACAATACTAACTGATTGTATATTATATTGAATTTTTCATTTAAGTGATCACGTTATGAAATAATTTCTAGTTTTAAGTATTGGTTACAGTGTGTTGATTTATATTAGTAAATATTGTAAAACTTTTCTATATTTACTTATTTTTCTGAGATATCGAAGTACTTACGTATAGTAACCCTCCCTGGGTACAATCCATTTTTGCACCCCACTAACGCCAGCATCGTGTAGTACCGTGACATTTGTGATGGAACTGGCGTAAGTTCTGCTACAGTTGGAATGGCTTGGGCCGTACCTACCCTTCGCATTACACGTTGTAATTTTGTAATCTAAAAAATAAAAATGCCTCATAATATAATAATAAAATATTAATCCAAATCAATGCTTTTTGTTGTTGGTTGATGGTCGCTTGAGCGAGTCTACGTTAGAGTTGAAAAATATTAAAAGTATACTGGGTGTTTCTCAAGGTTTTTAACACGGCCATGGCATTCTATATTGAAATTTAAAATACACTTTTTTAAACGAGAATGTCAAAAGTTAACATATGTATATGATATGTCATTCTATTCAGGGTGTTATTTTTATATTAATTCTTATACTAATTCTGATTGAATAAAGTAAAAAAATACCGAGGGTGCCATTTAAAAACCAAAAGCTGTAGTCAATCTCGGTGAAACAGGAAGTGACCAATTTAATTTTTTAATTTAATTTTATTCAAAATGAGTTGTTTGGGTCATAAATGATCTAAATACAAAATATTTTCATGGTGTCTATCTGTCTGTCTGTCCGTCTGTCTGTAACACGATAACTCAAAAACCGCTAAACTGATTTTGACCAAATTTGGCACAAAAATACTGTGGCACCCGAGAATCTGACCATTAGTTTTTGGTGGGGGGTGGGGGTTGGTAAGGGGGTATGGGAGGGGGTTAAAAATTTTAAAAAATCGTAACTCCAAAATTACAGTAGCTAGCGAAACGCGGTTTTCAATTTAAGATTAGGAATAATATTTCCAACTTTGAATAAGAAGACTAAGGAAGGAGCATATCAAAAATCTTAGGTACACCGCGATGGGCCTCAAATATGGCCGACTTAAATTCCGGTTTATCAGTGTCGTTCTAATTTTATTTAAAAAATGTAAAACTATGATGTAGGGTAGACGTGGGGTAGACTCAATAATTTGTTGTTTTATTTTACGTTGTGAATAAATGTTGGTAGTTATTAAAATTGTTATAAAAATATATAATTCTAATAAAAATAGATAAGTTATAATAATTATTTATAACCATAAACATCCGATACGCTACTGAAGCAGGTAGACTGATAAATCCACAAAATTTCAAATCAAATTCAAATGTGTCAAATGAATCGTCAAACAGAACTGTCAAGGATCCCCACCCTAGAGAGCTTTTTCCGCCCACCATGCATGAATATATGGATAGCATTATGCTCCTTCCTTAGTCTTCTTATTCAAAGATTTCCAACAAAATTTGTAATAACATCAAAATCAGTCAAAGTCCCAGTTTTTGAGATAAAAAAAATTGGAAAAATTCCTTTACTTTGAAACTAAAAGGACTGCCTACCAACTTTTTATTAACAAATTATAGTATGGGCGGCTATACGTGCCTCCCGGCGCCATTTTTTTTCGATTATACAGTACTTATATTTATACCTACCAAATCTCGTTTATTTATTTGAAAAAATTAAAAAGTTATAGGGGTGAGCCACTTTTGAGAAACACCCGGTATATGATACAGTAAAATCCAGAAATCAGTGAATGTTAACAATTATAAGTAAAATTACGCATTCATTGGTTTACTGATACTACACCAGTAAAAGTTCCAACATTTTTGGCTGTTCTCGTAGTTCAGTTTTAAAACGTTAAATTAGTAAATATAAATTTTAATTTGCCTCTTACATGTTTTGTTCTTGAAATCGTCCACAGTCTCCTTGACTGGAGTTACATCTAATTTCGGATTCCAGTAATTGTAGCCCTGTAACTCCTCCTCAGGTATATTAATTCCGAAACATTCCGGACTTAGAGATATGTCGTCCACGGCCAAATCGCTCAGGTATCTGTAACCTTTCTTCGCCTCAAAATGCATAAAATATCTGCAATGTTTCAAGGAAAAGATATTATCAACATGTGGGCGGAAGTGTTGTGTATACATATCAGAAAGAGTTCCATATCTAGCTTATATTTATAGAATAAGGACAGACATGTACAATAAATACAGAGTGTCTCATTATTCCGTGGACATAGAACTACTAAGTATTTTTGGGATCAAAATAAGTTCATTGGTGACAATTTACCTCTATACAAAAGTGCTTCGTTTGTCCGTTAGATGGTATAAAACCATAAAAAATAACATTTTTAAGACATTTTAAGAACCGTTATTCCGATTTGAATGAGATTAGGGGTTTTGCTAAGCGCTTTAAGATTTAACTTTCACAAAATCAAAGAAAGCAGGGGAAGAGTGGAAATTACCCCTGTGTGTGTAAGACACAACTTAATGGGCAAGTTCGTGACAAAGCTGATTTGATTTTCCCTTATGTTTCAAGTGCAGTACGGTAGAGCCATCACTCGTTCTGCGGCCAACGCATAAAATACTTGTTTTCTCTAATTCGGTCAGCAAAGGCATATCGAAGACGGTGTGGAACCAAAAGCGACAGTGATGCCATATTAAAATGTGTAATATCTGTAATACGTTTGACGAAAATATTTTTGGATGAAAAATCCGCGTTTATGTATTGAAAATTTATTTGTGATAAACATAAATATCTCGTATAATCGAAAAAAGTCGTTTATTTTATTTTGCTTGAAAATGACGATCCACTCTGTCGACTGAAAGCAGAACTACGGTACAGTATTATTTATCCGCTGCGCTGTAAACGACTGTCAGCGCGCAGCGGCGCAGAGCTAAACTAAATCGCGAACACTCTGACTGCAACGCCAGTTATACATCGGACATCTTTTGTGCCACGACATTGTCCATAAAGTTGCGCATTTCCTTATTTCTTCAATCAACGGTATAAAAATTGATATTTGACAATAAGCTTCATAAATTTTAAATTAATTAAGGTTCGGCCTTATTTTTGATCGATGCTCTCTAACGGACAAATAAAGCACTTTTGTATAGAGGTAAATTGTGTGCAATTAACTTATTTTGATCCCAAAAAACGTAGTTGTTCTATGTTCACGGAATATTCGAACTCCCTGTATATTTTGCAGGTTTGCTTTACAAAAAAAAACCGATTTTTTTTAGTTTTTTCAGAAGGACCAAAAATGTAGTAAATACTCTAGAAGGACCATTTTATGAAGGAAGAAAATCAGCGGTCGGTGGATTTGGAAAATATTTCTACTAAAATTTATGGTAGGGGTGGAGATAGTTTACAAGTTACCCTATGATTTTGATCTTGATTTTTGTGAAAGTCAAATGTTAAAGCGCTTAGCAAAACATAAATAACCCAAATCTAATTTAAATCGGAATAAAGGTTCTTAAAATATCTTAAAAAAATGTGTTTATTTTTTTTTAAGTTTGATACCCTCTAACGGACAAACGAAGCACTTTTGTATAGATGTAAATTGTGTCTCCAAAAATACATAGTAGTTCTATGTAAAAGTAAAGTAAAGATTTCAGTTAACGTATCCTTTTGTTGCCAGGGCTAATCTGGACGGGTCCTACTTTGTTTACGCGGAATCCGAACCGCGGTCCTCGGCCATATCATGGTCAGTGACCTACCGATTTAGAAAGTGTCTAAATTAACTCTTACGAGATATCCGATCTCATCCGGCCTCGAACCGGCGTGAATGAACAGTGTGTATCAATAGATTTTACACTTTTCCCTTGGACAACAGCACGATACAGAGTTTCGAACCGGTCATCCGTCCATCCACCAGTATCGCCTTACGTCGTTTAACTTCTGTGTTCTAATGGGAACCGGTGTTTCAACGTAGCTAGGCCGTTGCCCTAGTAGTTCTATGCCCACGAAATATTGGGACACCTTGTATATGGCTTTAAGAAAATTTGTATTACCTGTGAGTGATGTTGGGAAGTATAAACACTTGTCTAATCCATTGGTCTCCATGATCCTCCATGTAACTCCAGTAAATTTTCGTAGTTTTGTTGTCAGTGGGCGTAATTTCATTAACTTGCAGAAGAATACCGCTTTTATGTTTGCCAGTTTTGTGCAAATAAAACCGTATCTACAAGGGAAAATGAGCATTTTTACTTAGGTTAAAAAACGATACACAGTCCTCATCATATATAACTTTTTTTATTTATTCATTTAGGTGAAATATGACTTGGGCGATAGTTTTTGAAAAAGTTTTTTCTTTTCTAATTTTGCTTAAATATACCCATTTTCAGTTATCTAGATGAAACAATTTTTTTCATCATTTTTAACCAATAGCAGCCGATTCTCGTGATAGGAACAAAAATAACTGATAGGAATCCGTTTGTCATTCAATTATTTATCTAGTACTCATATATTTAGTTCAATGTTTTAAATAAACTAATAGTAATAATAGTTTTCTATGAAGAGTTAAATATTATTGTAAAAATATTGGCTTGCGTGATGGAAACTATAAATAATTCTTCCATATATCGAGCTGACATCATTTCTATACATTTTTTATCTCCAATTATCCAATTTAAGTTTAAATTTTCTTTAAAAAGCAGGCCGGCTACAATAATAAGTTAGTTAAACAATTTTTTATAATACTTTCATTGTAGGGAGAAAAACTTGATAAGCGCGAATATCTTAATTTTAGGATTTTACAATATTATAGTAGGTCTAACTAGTCCCTACAAAATGTACAAACTCTGCAGGGCAATAAGTTGTTAAATCCTGTGATATATACCTAGTAAAAGTATAGAATACACGAAAAGAATCTGATAACGACTCGCCGTCCAGTGCTCTCCTGTAAAATTAGTAAAATGGCGCTTATCATGTTTTTCACCTTCAATTTGATTAGAGACCATATAGGGGCAATATCTAACCAAACAATTCTATAAGTAGGCTATGAAAAATACATTTTGACATTTAATATTATGCAAATAAGTTCCCACTATGTACAAATATGAATTTTATAATGCCATCTCCATAAAGGCTCATCACTTTTTGTCTAATTTTTACAACTAAATTTATTTTTCTTCAAAAGCTATTAACAGACTCAATAAATTTAACTGAATATATGATCGCTGTATGTACAACGAACTAGTAGACAGAAAAGACATTCTAATAGATAACACAAAACTGGAAATAGTAGAAAAATACATATATTTGGGACAACCAATACACAGCTCGGGATCTCTCCTACCGGAAATCAACAGAAGAATGAGTTAGCATGGAGTACTTATGAAAGAAACTCAGTCATATTCAAATCTAGAATGTCACACTATCTAAAAAAGAAAACATTTGAGCAATGTGTACTACCAGTCATGACCTATGCATGCGAAACCTGGACCCTTAAAACGCACATGATAAGGAAACTGCAGGTCGTACAACGCTCAATGGAACAAACTATGCTGGGAATAACCAAGAGAGACCGTAAAAGAATAGAGTGGATATGACAAAAGGTCCAGGTAATAGATGTCATCCCGAGAATCAAATCCCTCAAGTGGCAATGGGCAGGCACCTGGCAAGAGGGACGGACAACAGATGGACCACAGAAATTACAGCATGGTACCCACGAGGAATTACAAGACCTAGAGAAAGACCAAACTTGAGATGGGACCATGATATTAGGAAATTAGCAGGGATAACATTGTTGCCTATTGATGGCTATGCGGGTCTAACTATAAAGAGGGTATCTAAATACGTGTGTGTATGTAAATATCTAATATCATTGGACATGGTTGAATCAGCTGAAGATGATGATGATGATGATGATGATCGTTAGGTAAATATTTGATTAATAAACGAACTACCATCATATATTTTTGCTTCTACTACGAGAATCGCCTGCTTTTGGTCAAAAATTACACAATTTTATTAAGCATCTAGATGGTTGAAAATTGGTACACTTATGTAAAATTTAAAAAAATGTGTGTGCACTATGTGCGCATATTTGAAGTGATACTTCTTACTAACAGCTATTAAGTTGAAGGATTTGAAGGACATGTTTGAAAAAGTATATTTTGAAATGTTGAAAAAAGTAATAAATTAAAAATTAATAAAAAAATTGTATTAAAATATCATTATCCTTGATAAACACGGACTGCTCCATGACTGCTCACAAATACACGTCACTACATTTTTCTGAGCCGTGGGCTGTAGATGGCACAGATCGTTATCACTTTTCGTCTCGCTAGCTGGTATTGACAATAAAGGCATTTATTTATTTATTTTTATTTATTTATGTCACGGCTTTGAATTTTTACTCTCGGCGCGTGTAAAGAAGTTTCACTTTAAAAAGAAACAACTTTTTCAAACAAATTTTTTCGAAATTCTGCCAGCTAACCCATTATTTAGCCCTTTGCATAGATAAAAGAAACAAATTTAGATTGGAAAGTGCCCATAAGGACAATGTATTTGGCGCTATACTTACAACGGTTGCTCGCCAAAGCGTTTGATAATTTCGGAGCGGTTCGGCTTTTTCCGGAATTATATTGCCAAATATTTTTTATTTAAATTTATTATTTTCTTTTAATGTTTTTAATAAAATACAGTGTATTCCATATAAGAAACTTTATTTTTTGGAGATGTATGAAATACCTATGAATTCATTGGAAACCGACGTTATGCCACGATCCACGATGTTTTTTGCAGTTCACAGTTCACACAGCTTTAAGTTTTTAATGCCACTTTCCCACAATTATCAAGGATTTGGGTAAATAAAATTTAAATTAAACTCACAACATAGCAATAATTACTTTGAAAATGGACGCTTTAAACACTTTCCGGTATTTTTTCAATGAAGGCGGTTTAAATTTCGAAAGATTTTATACTTTTTGAAGATTCTGACTTTGACAAGAGAAAAATATTTCTGTTCTTGTTTGCGGTTGTTCTCAGCAACCGCTATAGCAGCGGCCTACAATGAATGCGCTCCAAAACAATTATAAGTTAAGTTTTGGCGGCAAGTCGAGCGTTCCAATCTAAACTTGTTTCCTTTATCTATGGCCATACATTTGTTACTTTAAATGTCAAATTTGACAGTTGCCCGGGGAAAACAGGCATCCCTTTCTTAAGTTACTTTTAATACAAATCAAAGCAGAAACTATCGCCGAGGTCAAATTTCACCTAAGTCGATAAATAAAAAACACTGATGACTTGATGGCACCGTATGAAACTCTGTAGGGACTTCTAATACAAGCCAAAAAAGGAACACTCTGTAAAATTTGATGCTATACTTACGGCACAAGTGTTGAAATACTTCGACGACGAATTCCCGTGCACATTGGGCGGTGGATTGAACACCACACTTTTCAACACTGCCTGACTAGCGAACTGTTCCTTTAACATGTCCACGTACAAGTAGTTCCCCGTGGAATTCATGTAGGTGTGGTCGAAATTGGGACCGGTGAAGTTCTTCGGCGTGGATCCGTTATGCCTGGTCCATTTCAGGATGTTAGTGTCGGCGTTGGTCCAGCCGCACCAATCCTCCTCGAAAGTACATCGGGATCCATAAGGCATTAAGTCTAGAGTAAAAAAGAAAAATGTTTCGCGTTTAATACAGTACAAGGTGTCCCACTAAGAATACAGATGATGGTTTATAATGGGTACATATCCTAAAAATATTTTGTTGTATACAGGGTGTCACAAAAGTTATGATAAAGTTTTTATTTTTTTTTAATTACACCTCCTTTGTACTGTACAGAGTGTCCCACTAAGAATAGCTCTCGGTTGTATATCAGAAAGTATTGGCCGTAGGGCCTGCGCAAAAAAATATTTATGACTAGCTTGATTTTCATGCATCAGTTATCCGACGATACGATGATACAATATTAATTTTATTAGTTGAATTTAAAGACTTCGATTGGTTAGAATTATTAGAATATTTAAATTTAAATTTAAATTTAAATATTAAAAAATGAATCTAATGCATAGGTATGGCATTCTGTTTATATTTTAACCATCGAAATTTTGATTAAAATCGAATTATTCAGGGTGGCGCGTCATATACTACGGGATTTTTGCAAAAAGAAGAGAAGTTTGTATTAAAGTGAAATTTTGTGAGCTTATGTAAGCCAATTTAAAGTATTTTCTAAAATTATATAGAGTTCTACAGGGTGTCCCCAAAAAAGTTACACCTCAAAGTTGTATTTTTTATACTGGAACACCCTATATATTAATTGATTTTCGGATTCTAGTAAAAAAATAAAGGCGAGTTTCATTAGAAAAGTATATGACTGAAAAATGAATACCTTAAAATTTTGATGTATTCTAAAGTTAAATATATTTTGTTCTAGTGGGCCGATTTTAATGATTTTTTAAGCAGTTTATAGCCAAATTATTTTACTTTTTAGTATCTCTTTGTAAATTAAAATTAAAACTCTCCATCTGCTAATTATACGAGGGAAAAGAGAATGTTGATATTTTGGTGAAAGTTTGAAACACCCTGTAGAATATGTTAAAACAGCAAGAAATTTAAAAGTAATTTTATCATCTAGATTCATCCTTTCTAGATAGTTTGTTTTTTGGTTCATCTCGTTAGCTTTATTTTTGTTGGAGATATTCGCTTTTGAAGAAGACGCTAACATTTTTTCGTAACTTACATTAAGATCATGCGTTTGCTATTGGTCCTACTCAACAGATCTAGTATGTTCTGGTCCCGAAGCAGGCCTTCTTGACATACGATTTCATTTGGTCTTCTTATAGTCATATATATAGTATACTCTATGGTATTAAGGTATTTTTGGAACCGGAATTTTACAGATAATTCACTGAACTAAACAAAGATATTTAAACTCGGGAGATACAACGATCTATTCATAAAACGCTCTAAAACTTCATCACACATTGGTTTGCGAAAATCAACGAGTGCGAAAGAGAATGGACAAAAAAGGGAATAGGGTATCGGCGATACGGCAACAATGTAGTAGTTTACAAAGATTAGTCTGTTGAGGTCGTTAATTTCCAGTGGCGTGCAGATTGACCGACAGTATTTTAAGAAAATAAAAAAAAATAAAACATCAATATTTGAGTGTGTTAATATGATAAGTAAAACCCGCCCCAAACACTTTATTTCGAAATAATAAGCAAAAACTGTTTTAGCAAATGTTTCAAGCGTTAATTTACAAAAAAACGTGTCCATTGAGGGGAATCATTGTTTTGTATCTTGTTTTTCGAGAAATAAAAATGAATATTTAATTTGTCAACAGAAAAAACAAAAATAATTCGGATAAGGCGGATTTTGTTGCAGTATGGTAAGATGCATATTACGGGTGTTGATACAATATGATCAAGAAAAAACGGCGTCAGCGATGGCTATAAAATGAAGAACGCTGTGCTTTGGGAAATGTTATCGATCATTTCCTAGCCAATTTTTTTCGATCATACGGTATTTGCATCCTAACTTGATTTACTTGAAGTCAGCAAAATTCTATTTTTCGGTACACCTCAGTTGTCGATAGAATAACTACAAAGGGGCGAACCGAAGTAGGTACCTAGATTAGATTTTATTCTTATAAGATAAGAAAGAACGTTCAATATATAAAGTAAAAAAATCAAGTTCAAAAATAAAAGTTCGTAATTGTATAAATTACTAGGTACCTAACGGTTTATAGAACTTATTCTTAAATTAAATTATTCTTAATTTATTGGTAACCATTTGGTATTATAAACCAATAAATAAAGGTAATATGTTCTTTATTATTTTAGGTACCGCCTCTGTATTTAGAAACAAGAATATAATAATATCCCAAGTAGCATTTGGACGTTATCTAACGTCGGGTATACGTCGCGTCCAATAAACCCGACGTCGGGTACCAACGTCGGTTCGACCGCCTGACGACCCTTATTTGCACCTAAATGGGGAATACAGATTCGGGTCGCTTCGACGTCGGTATCTGACCTAATAGGGAATGTAATTCTACCAATTACCAACGTCATATTACGTTGGATTTTAGTCACTTAAAATTCGTCGCTAAGCACTTACGTTACGTTTGGTTTCATATTCGCTACCAAGAATAGATAAAAACGTAACCAAACTACCTAATTACAAATGGATTCATAATCACTCTTGAATATAACTACAAGTGCCTACCTAATTTCATATTATAATAATTCTGAATCATTAATCCAGACATCAGTTTTGTCAACGGAAGTCAGTTTTTTTTATATATCTGATTAAAATACTCCGGAAAACAACGAGCGCCTTCAAAATTAGGTAGATTTATGAAATAAAAATATCTATAAAAAAGTAACTCGCAAAATATTTTTTTTATTTTCTAGCTGGTTTAATCATAAAACTGTACTGTGGTTCCCCCCAAACTCAACCTTATCAATATTATTCTACTAGAAATCGGAATGTGAATATAAATTTTAAAAACAAAAAACGATTTTAAAATGGCTGACAAACGGATACTTGTTAAGAATGGCGGATTCCTGTGTCCGACTTAATATGAACTACCAATATACCAATTCCAACCGGGTCTCCAATATTAGTCGTCTCACACGACCGAAGTCATCAAACCGGACGGCCGGCAATCGTATTATGACGTATATAATTCCAACGTACGCCACGTAACCTCACTTTGCGTATCAGTGATTTGTAGATTTGTGCAACTATATTTTAGTTTTTGTTTTCTCCTTAAAAAAAATGGGCAGCCACTTTTTTAAGATAGTATATATACAAAATTTAAAAGAATTGGAACCAGTACCTCCCATGTGGGAGGAGGATGGGGTCTGCTGGTTTCCTAAGCTAAAAAATGAAATTAACATGCACCAGTGTAATGCAGCATCTCTTCCGGATAAAAAGCATTCGTGGGCGGAGGCAAGACATTATTACTACTATTATTATTTTATTTATTAGCTTTCTGTAAAATGTAGATGAATGTCTAAATGCCTTTTTGGTGTTTTTTTAGGCATAATAAAAAAATTAAGTTTGTTTAAAAAAACTTTTTATTAGGTTATGTTCATGATGTTCAATAGGCCGCAAATGCTACTTAATTGGTTGTATTTACGGACGTAAACAGAGATACGTAAATTAGGTTATAAATATGAACATAAAATACAACAAAATATAATTGGACGTTACTTTAGGGATTATCAGTGGAACGTATCCTATTCGGACAACGGGTAGACGTCGGACTAGTTCAAGTATATGTACGTCGTGCAAGTCAACGTGGGAACGACGTTGGGAAGTTAATAAAAATGGTACGTTGTTATTTTGTACGTCGACAGATCGTTGGATTTACCGACTCGTATCCAACGACGTCGCTTTTAATAGGAAAGCGACGTCACCGGTCGTATCACCAGCACCCGACCTAAATTTGCACAAAGTCTGACGTCGCTTCAGGTCAGATTTAGTTCAAGTCAGATAGATGCTACTTGGGATACCTAACCCTACTTACCGATGAAAAGTTAAATGTAGATTTAAATATTCCACTCTCTTACACACAACACACGAATGTACCATATTTTCCAAATAATGTTTACACAAGTTCACAAAATATCACAAAAATGTTAAAAACCACAATTAAGCAGTAAAAATACACAAAACACCTACCGGCGGAATGGCAATATCGCACTAGCAGCTGCTTTGAATATTCATTCTGACTCGATTTCCGTTTTACTTTTCTATTGTTAATCTAAGGTTTTACTACGTCGTAAATTCCTAAGAGTGACGTTGCCAAACTGCTGGTTTTTTTTAAAGAAAGACTACTTTGATATTTTATTCCATTAAAAAATTAAAAATAATAAAGTAATTAAGTATTAAATAAAAAAGTTGACGTTAGCAAATTAATGTACTTGATATAAATATAGAAATATAACGAAATTATTTATTTCTTCATAATTGATTGTGGTGTTAGTCGAATATTAATTTTTACGAGTTTCACGATTCACGATTATAATCGATTCACGATTATAATCGTTTCACGATTTTGAAAGTCACGATTTTGAGAAACTTTAAGACTTCCTGATTCATTCAGTTCAGCTGACCCAATCCTCTCAGGAAATAATATTACTTTTTAGCGTTTCTTGCATATATACTTTTCTTTACATTGTAGAAAGAAATTCTATCTTTTCTGCTACAGAAGCAACCTCCTCGTGTACACATATTTTTAACTGAATGAACAGCGGTCGCCATTAAAACTGCAGCATTTTTAGGTTATTACATAATTTATCATACGAAATCCTTTTCCCCATACTTATTTACATTTACATCTTGTGCCGATAATGCTATGACTCAAAGAAAAAAACCTAGGCAGTGTATATAATATATATAAGTAAATCTGGCAAATGCATATAAGTAAATCTGGCAAACGTTTTTGGGGTAAGAGAGACGGGAAAATAAGGATAAAATAATGTCTGATAATGGAAAAACGTAAACAATTGTACCGGGGTGGATGGGGAAGTGGAAACCGGCCCGGGAAAAACAGCCCAAGTAGCATTTTCACGACTTACGACCACATGTTTACTAAACACAACGTTGGATTAGTTACAAAAAATAGTGTCAAGAAAAATGGCGCATCCG